GCGGAAAAAACAGTAGCTATACTTCTTGGTAGTAATAAGTAATAATAAAAAAAATACTGCTTGTTACTCTAAGTAGTTGTTTGCTCAGTAGCAGAAGTGGGATGGGAGCACAGATGCAATCAGCTAATGTCCTGCTCTGGCCAAAGGCTCCGGGCCGTGTTAGGTGGATTTAAGGGCACTGGGTGTGGGAGATGGCTGCGTTGCTGTTGCGCACGGGTTTTCTGGTAGGGGGGATTATGCGACTGCAAATGTCCCTGCCTCTGTGTTCCATCTACAGTTACACTCTGGCAGTAGGGGTGTGCAGCCATTGCTCCCTGTCCCGTTCTAGTCAGCTGTCATTTCCCATTTTGTTGCTTGTTGTAGAAATGAGAGTGTTTGAGGGGAAATTACACTCATAAAAGGTTGATAGGCCAGCTGTAGTAGTTTAAGATGGTTCAAAAAGCTGAGTTTCTTGGTTCTTTTTTGCTGCAGGTAGAGTACTGTGCATGCTTCAAGGAGGGTGTGTAATTAGCTGTTTTCTCCTCACTGAGGAGTACTGCTGGCTGAACAAGTGAGAGGAAAAAAATCAGCTGAGTAGTAATCAGGGTAAAAAGTATTTTCTTGTTACCCTTTTGGTATTTACAAGCACCACATTGGGCATACTGAAGTACAGGTCAGAAGCTTTAAGAGCAGTCCATGATTATAGTTAACTTACCTGTGTTTTTCACTGCTGTGTATTTCTGTGGGCTGTAGGGCTTGTGCTTGCTTATATTAACACAAGCTTCAAATTATAGTGTTGATCTTTTTTTCTGAGGTAGCAATACAGTTATGCAGTACAGAAATAAACTCAATGGGGCAACTCTGGAATTTGAGCGGTGTCCAAGAGGACAGTTGTGTGTGCGCAGGTTTAAATAATTAATTTAAACAAGCTTTGGATAGCTCAGTGTGAGAAGCAGAAGTTTTACATATGCTGTTTTTTCTTTCTGTAAGGACACTTTCAAGATGCTGCCGGCTGCAGGGAACATTCGATAGTTTTTCTGAACATGGGCTGTGAGTTGCTGTTGGCTACAGCTGTAAACTTGGTGGTATATTCTGGCTGTACTGGACTGAAGGTGGGAAAAGGGTAAAGAAGTTAGGGTGAGTTTCAAACATCACCAGTGTGCAAGTGGAAATCCCATAAACAGTGTTAATCTGTGCAACCTCCCTGCCTGTCTTCTGAAAGTGCTGTCTCAGCAATGTGAGGCCTAGGCTTTAACGTAAATGTTGGCGGACATTGCTAGCCTGGGTTGTGAAATGTTTATCAAGTGTACTCTCAGGAGTTTGCAAGCGTGTACTGTTTGTGGTGTGTATCAGCGGCTGCCTGGAAATGTGCGGCTGTAGTCAGGAAAGCAAATAGGCCTGGCTTACTGGGCAACCTTATTATGACAGGGGAAACTTTTTGTTTCTCTGTGCGGGATGTAGACTTTAAAGGGAGAATTTGTGCTGCTCCTGCAGCCAGGCCTCTTCCCAGTTGCCTGGAGAGTACCTGAGAGGCAGTCCTCTAACTGGAGGGTTTTCTCCTGTCCAGCAGGGTAATTGCTTACAGCTTTCACAGGCCTTACATTAACCTTCCCAATTAATGGCTGACTAAACCTCTTTAAAACCAGTTACTATCTGCTTTGCTCCCTGGGCAGAGGGGATCTGTAGGCTGTTTCTTCAGTGGCTGCTTTGTACCAGTGCTTGTTTCTGAGCTCTGGCACAACTAAGAACATACAAAAGAGAGGATGTTGCATGCTGACCTGGAGAGGTACACCCAGCAAACCCAGGATGAGCTTTTAAAAACAAGTCTTTCCTCAGGTGACTACCTGTTAATGCCAGGCATGGGCTGAGTGTAGTTGTTTGCGTGTTTGTGACCTGACAAACCCCTTTAGCAAGGAATACTGCAGATTGACCCTGGAGGTCACAAACTGAGAACACAGCGAGTTGTTTACAAACCATGTACAATGATGGGTTTGTAATCTATTGTTATATTGGAGCTTCATATTCAGTAGATAGTAATGATGGTGACCTTTAACCTGGCCACCTTCCACGTGACGGACAGAGCCTGCAGCAAGTCCTGCTCTCTGCTTAGACCAAAGAGGAGAGAAGAACAGGAGGGGGAAGCTGTAATGGGTCTTGTTTGCTGCAGAGCAGAAGGAAGTTTGAAATGTGTTTAGACTTTATAGTGACCACTTCAGCCAGGTGTTTGGGTTGCAGCAGGGTGACAGCAGCACTGCTGAGAGGTGCCTTGAAAACAGCTGGCAAAACTTAGAGGTGTGAACTTGGTTAAAATGATTTTTAAGATGTTTGAGGTCTACCCCATAGAGAAAGAATGGTAAACCTTTGCAGTGCTGGGTAGATAACTGTTTAGTACGTAAGGCATCAGTGTCTGGTAAAGAACAGTGGCATTTTTGGCTTGAAGTAATTCGCGTCCTTTTTACCTGGCTCTGCTGCTTAAGACAAATAGAGAATAAGAGCTATCTCATGCAGAGAAACCTTGATTTCACCACACCTTGCTTCTCACTTTTGGTGTGTACTGCGAGCTGCAGTGTGTCTCAAGTCCCCATTGTGAGACTACTTTATTAACCTTCCCTGTGTGTTAGATGAACTTAATTGGTGCGTAGCAGCTTTCATATGTTACAGCCAGCTTGGCTTTGGTAAGTATTAAGACATCAATCTTGTTTCCACTTGTAAATCAGTGAGCATTTCAGGGGAAAAGGTTCTTAATGGAAACTTGAGGCTCTGTTAACGATGACCCTGGCACTGAATGGCTACACTTGCTGCCTGTGATTGCTTTTTCTCAGCTGTTTTGGCTCTGTCACTTCTCCAGTCAAGCTGACATGAAGAAGAGTAAGTTTGGAAACAGTGGTTTTGGGTGACTGTTATGTTAGAAGGTAATCTTCCTATTTTAACTCTAATTTGTGATGTGCTATTGCAGGCAGAGGAGTGTTACAGCTTTGTTAATTGCTGTACTTTTTTGAGGCAGGACATCAGGCACATGCTGGAAAGAACACATCTGGCCTTGTGGGGAATGGCAGTTTTTAGCATGATACAGAGTGTGGGACTATGTTACACAGCGTGACCAGAAGAAGGCGAAGAAATTAAGCTCTTCATCACTAGTGGGGAGAAACCAGCCTCAGACGCTCATGTAACCACAAGTCTTCGAGCTGCTTTTTTAAGGGCCAGCTAACAGAATACAAAGATGCCTAATTCTCTTCTTGTTAATCCATCTTGTTGGCTAAGCTTGGTCATAATCTAGTCAGACTAAACAGTGCCTTGAAACTAAATAACTTCTAACTCGGAAACAGGGACTTGAAGTCCTGAAGTTGGTGCTACTCAAGACGAGTGATGTACAGAAAGGGTATGTCAGGGTGGAAAAGGGACAGGGGCATGTTAATTATTTTGAGGCTTCTTTTGAGGTGACTCGGTTCAGAGAGTGGAATTCTGGTTTGATTCGTTTGCCTTTACATTGTGTTTATACAGTCTATTTGGTGGAATATTTAAGACAACCTGGCTTGTGTGTTAGGTTGGACAAACCTTTCAAGGCATCTGTGTTTTTCAGCTTGGCGATTCAGAGGGGGATTGCATTGGCAGGGGACACAGCTTCCCCTCTACGGCCTTAAAAAAGTGGTTAAGAGGTGTTTCCTCCTTCCTATTTTTAAATGCCTAAGGGGGTGACAAATGTTAGTATCCTCTAAAATGGATGATAGAAGGGGGGAATGACTTCTTAGAAGGGGAGAAACTGAGGTGCTCCCCTCCCCTGCTCAGCCATGTATTGCTTATTTCATCTCATCTGGGTTTTTTGATCTTGGATTCAAAAAGATTTGTGCCTTTCAAAAGTTGTTAACAGTTTATTAACAGCTCATTCTGTGGGAGCTGCCTTGTTGGCAGAAGGTGGGAGGAGACTGTCTGAAGAAAACAAATGCTGGTGAAAACATCTGAACTGAGATTGGTGTGGACTTGCGGGAGTGAGGAGAGCATTTGGGTCTCTAAGGGCTGGAAAGCAAGGTGAAGCTTGTGACACAGCTGGCAGGTGTTATGGGCAGAACTGTGATGTTGCTGTCCACAACATCTTGCTGGATAGCTGGCCAAGGCCTGAAGAAAAGTATGGATGTGACAGCATATCTCACCAGCTGTCAGGGATAGCAGCTGTAGGAGTCACTGGAAGTAAGATGCAGCTCTCCTCTGCTTTCATTTGTGTTTCATTTTCCTTTCAAACATGTCACAGCCACTTGATGATGAGACAGATTTCTCCCACTACCCATCTCGCTGAATTCCTGTCTCCCTTGTCTTGCTCAGGTTCCTGTGGAGCACTGCTTGCTTGCACATCCTTCTTCTCTCCAGCTCCCAGCTTGGTTCTTGGTGATCCCTCCTGGAGAGCTGGCTGTGCTTTGATTGATAACTAGTCTTGGAAAAAACTAAAGCCCTTGTTTCCATTTGTATTCCTGTCTTCCATATGAATGGTCTCCTATTCTACCTATCCTGTCTTCTTCTGTGACTCTGTAACACCGTGCTTGGCTGTTGGTTCCCTCCTTTGGTTGCCTGGTACCTTCATTGCTGCCTCAGCCCTGCCTTGGCAGGCACACCCCTGCCTTGGCACCTGCTCCTCCTGCTTATTAGCTCTTGTTCTCATGAAATCATCGCTATTTCTGCTCTGCCTCTTTACATCACTTTTTTGACTTGGGAGATTCTTCTGCAGCCTTGCTTGTTGAAGGTGCTCTGGCTCTGGGTGGCTTGCAACCGTTGAAAGCTTTGAGAGAGAACACTTACCTGGTTTCTAATCGTAGCAAACTGCAGTATCTTTCTGAGTTCAAAGAACTGTGGATTGCCCTTTTGATCCTTATACTGCCTGGTTGCTGTGGCACTTGTGTCCTCTTTCATTTTACAAATAGAAAATATTACCTAAGCTTGATTAGGGGGCTGCTTTGAATTAGTAATGCTTTCCTTCCTTTTTGACATAAAAAGACATCTTTGTCATTTTTTTGGTTTTGTTTTGGTTTCAGCCCCATCTGTTTTGATATGATTGAAGAAGCCTACATGACAAAATGTGGACACAGCTTCTGGTAAGATTATTTTTATATTGTGCAAAATATCCATCTTTTACAGTGAGTGTGGACCGAAGTTGCTGTGAATCCTTCTTTCTGAGTTTTTGTTACTTTTCTGTCTTCTATCCCCACACTGAAGAAAGAGGTTGAAATACAATTTTAAAAGATGGGTTACCAGTTAGACTGAAAAAAGTCATTGAAGTGTTTAAAACAAGTGCGGTGCCACCACATTTCCTTTGTAAAGAAATAAAATGGTCATAAACTGCTGGTAGTATCCAGTACCCAGAGTCAGAAGAGTTTGTCAGCTTACCTCTATTGGTCCCACCCCTGTAGAGGTCATGGGAGGGAGTGTTGGCGTTGGGAGGTTCTCCTTGCCTTTGTGCAAGACCGTGTACAGTTTGAAGTGGCTTGCACACTGTCTGTTACGATTCTCTTCTTGAGAGGAGATGCTTCAGGCTTGTTTCTGTTGTAAGGAATTGGCCCAAGGTCCACTTATTTTTCGGTGTGTTATCTCTGGCTATCATGAGGAACAAATATTTTGTGGAGAAGTGCAAGAACCCTCCAGGGGCACATGTGGAACTATCTGCTGCTCCTCCTCTCAGCTAGGCATTGGAATAAGTGTTGAGCCAGGATGTTTTCAATTCCTGTGTACATCATACTCTTACAGTGTCTGTTAACCAGAAATAAATCACCTACCCTTTACAAGAAGTAATATTTTTAGTAGCATAAAGCACTTCTGCAAGCAGCAGATTCAGTAACTTTGAGAAAAGTTTTGACCTGCAATGGGTTTTTGTGCTCTCTGTGGCAACGCTTTATCCCCGTGATCTGTAACTTTTTCAGAACTCCAAGGTGAGAAGCATTCAAATATCTTTTCTTAGAAAGAACAGAGCAATGTTGTCGCATGGTGTCTCTACCAGCAGTTGATATCAAGCTAGGGTCTTAGTGAGATGCTTAAACCTGATGCTGAAGTGCGTCTTGTAGTTCCTTGGTCTCTCAAATAGCTAACAGCTTGGAGAGCACCTCTGGAGTCACTTCTGCTGAGAGCAACAGCTAGGGGTGGGGGGAAATGTGAGAAGTTGGTGAAGGTTTTTCCCTAGATCAATTACCCAAAATGTATAATAGCTTTTAATGTTGCTTGCTAGGAATTTGGCTAATCTAGAGGAGTTGCTTCTGAATAATGCAGTCCGTTAGCTCTGCCTGTGGAAGGGGGCGGTGAATGAGGTGGAAGTGTGGCTGAAGTGCACGTTTCCACAGTCCTCAGGGAAGTGAGGTGCTTAAATACCTTTGGTAATCCTTGCCAAGGAACTTTGCTGTCTTTCTGCTGTAGCATGCTCTGAGTTAATATTGGAACATTTGACTTCACTGTGGGATCTTGGCAATGCAGCTGTGAGCTGGCAACACAAATAGAGTACACCTTATCTAAGGTTTATATTATTTACCTTGTGCTTATGTTTTGTTCCTTCATGTATGCTCACTTGTTTGTCTTCTTGTTTTTTATGTTTTTAAACAGCTATAAATGTATTCACCAAAGCTTGGAGGACAATAACAGATGTCCCAAATGCAACTATGTTGTGGACAACATAGATCATCTTTATCCCAACTTCTTAGGTGAGCTCTAGGCTTGCTTGCATGAGAAACATCTTAGTTGTTAAGGAAGGAAGGTGCTTGTAAATTCGTCCTATAAATAACAAGCTTCTGGATATTGAAAAGAAAATCCAAGCATCAGCCCTTTGGCCAACTGTCTTTTTTTTTTTTTAAAGTAGTGGTTAGTGGTTCTACATGCTGAGCTACAGTAGTGAGACTGACTTGCTACTGTTTGCATACTAAGAAAAGCAAAACAAAGATGTTTTTCTAATGGCTGGAGATTTGAATCTCATTATTTACTTTTGTTTTCTTGCACTGGTGTCTGTCTAATAATCAAGAACATGCCCTGTTTAGAAAGCGTGGATGCTGAAGGGGAGGAGGCTGAATTACATACTGTACTATTTTGGCTACTATAGTGATGTCCTTTGATGTATGTATGTGTAAATTAGATACAGAGGAAATGTACCTACATGTAAACCTAATTGATTGCAGGTTAAACAGAGGAGGGGGATGTTTCTAACTGGAAATAGAGTTGAAGACTTAGTTATGGGGAGAAAAGATCAAAAGATGTGAAATACCAAAAATTAAATCAAATCTTTATTTCATATGCTGGGATACCCATTGTATAGTAAATAGAGTAAAAGCCACAGTAGCTGAGGAATGCTTCAGTAATGGGCATCCTGATTTAGACCCGAGCGTGTTGTGCTGCAGATGGTGCTGAGGCAGGTCTTGGTGTCTGTGTTAGGCTGAAGAGCACTGCTTCCTTGCACCCGCGTTCAGGGGTCTGAGGTATGTGCTGGAGGGGGCAGAGCTTGTACGTGTCTGCGGGAAGGGCTGAGGTTGTCTTGCTCTCTTTGCACCATTCACCAAATTGGTGTGAAATAAAACTGTAGCCAAAATGTATCTTTAAAAATACACATAGTGATTAAAGGAAAAAGTTGTTCTGTCCAGCTGTGCTTGTTTTCAGCCTGTAGTAAATCAGTTCATGTTTTATTGCTGTCATACTCTCCTGTGATGTACTTCTGCCTCAGAGTTGAAAAACTTTGTCAAAGAGCCATGGGTGCTTAGAAAAAGGAACTGAAGTAATTTGGGGGATGTGTAGGCTTTGTATTTGTTGATTTTTTTAAAATAATCTTTATATACTTTACCTAAAAATCAAGGAATAAATTGGTGAGGACATAAGTGGAGACATCTACTGTTTTAATTACTGGTAATGTGGAATTAAGAACTAAAGCAGCAGTATTAAGGTAGAATCTTTCATACTTGTTTCATGAACTTCAAATCCACCTCTTCTCTGACATTTATTTATGTTTTTTTAGTCAATGAGCTAATTCTTAAGCAGAAGCAAAGATCTGAGGAGAAAAGACTCAAACTGGACCATTCAGTGAGTAGCACCGTATGTTCCAACTTTCTTACTTTATATTTATATAATGGTTTTGTGCAGCAATTGTGTTATTACGTGGCACAATTTAGAAGAAATTATACTGCTGAGCTGATGCTTTAACTTGTTTTATGAGGGAATAATACCAATATCAGTGGCCCTAGATCCCTTCAACCTTGTTAACTCTCATTCTTCCTGCCAGCAGTGTCTGTGTAGAGGCAAGCTGTGTTAGCATAGCTAAGTGCCATACGATGTATTGAATGTAACCTGGGAAACTACCCATGGAAGCGCACTTGTTTAAAGGTAATAATTTTCATTCAGTGTTGGAAATTACAGCTATAGTGAGAGTAAGGGATGATTAGAAGTGCCATGGGCTTGTCTGATCACATGCGAGAAGCTGTGTTCTGCAGGGAAGCTGGAGGAAAGCTAACACCAGCCACAAGAGGGAGAAGGATGCGTTTGGCGTACTGGTGTTCTGGCTCTGATCCTGGATAAAGCTGCCTGGATATCTGCTAGGCTTGCTTCATGTCACAGTGTCGGAGCATCATCTGTCTTCTCAGTTCATTAAAACTCCTGTACAGCAACAGTGGATGCTCTTGTACGTTAAGATCAAAAAGAGTATATGACATTAACCAGGAAACTTGTGTATTTGTCTTGCTGTGTCTGGCTTCCTTGGCTTCTGTAATTCAGAGATAAGGTCGCAAAGTAATATTAAATATGGGGCCCCTGTTTTTGTCAGTTAAATAAGCCCTCTATTGAAGTGCTATTAATTTAAGGGCTGCGTTGCAGAAACCAATGCTTTCAGCAGTTGTATGCTTTAGGAAAAGAGCACACTTCAAGGATTCATTGGTTTACTCACAGTTTTTATATTCAATACAAAATATGCATATACCATATTCAATATAAAATATGCATAAACCATATCTGTCTTAAAATGCACACAGTTGACTTGAAGGCACGTACAGTAACTGCTTGGAAGTTGATTCCACTTTTTCTTATAGTCCACCTTTAAAAACTATGCCTGTAGATGCCTCTATGTTAGATAACTACCAGTAAGTGGAAATCTACCATGACATCATGCCCGAAACAGTGTTGTGTCTACCTTTAGGCAGCAAATGAAAAAGACCAACATTTCTAAAGAGAAACCGTGCTGTTGTACCAGCTCCTTAATGTGCCTGTTCTCTTATATTACTTCTGGTATTAAGAGAAGTCATTCAAGACACGTTGCAGCAAATGCACCCTTTCTTGGTCATGGATTTGTCTGATAACAAATCATGTTAAGGCATCTTTGAAACTTTCTGAATAGTTTAGCAGTAGTACATTTAACTGGTATGTTACAGTTTGTCTCAAATCTTGTTGACTTGCTTAAAAATTGTATTTTCTTCCCAGTTGTTCCAGATTGAAATTGAGTTTTTGCCTATATGTTTTCCACGGGTTCTGTTGAGAGTTGTGTAAATGTTGTGTTCTATGTGGATGTTACATTTTACTGTTCTTAATCTAGTCAATACAAATAGGCTACAATGTCTTAGAAAATGTCTGGGTTAGGCTGGATGGTATTTCTAGTTCTTGGAAATTTAAATATCTCGATCTAGTGTCATAGCTTCTGTAAGGCAGGATTTTTTTTATTCCAGCTTTGTTTCTTAGAAGGCCTAAAGACCTTTCAGCTGTTCCTGTTGGTTCGTGAGGCTTTTTAATGTAAGGCTATATCAGCATTAACCTATTATTCAGGTTTCCCTATGTTAAGAGATACTTTTTTTTTTTTACTGACAATGAAGAGCAAACAGCTTGTAGGGAAGGAACAAATAGCCTGTAGGGAAGCATGGGCTGTATGGTAATATGCTGGATCTTGGAGGAGTCCTTCTCAGCTCTAAAAACTTGAATGAGAAGATCACCCTGATAAGCTCAGTCTTCCTTCCTGCTCTCACATTTCCCGTGAAAATACTCTTAAGAGCAGTAGTGTGGGAGGTGAGAATAGAAAAAACTAAGCTGTTACTACCTTCTTGCATTTGAAATTAGCATGAGGGCTTTACCTATTACTTCTTTTAAAAAATTAAAAGGTTTTGCCACTTAACAGTATTTCAGCTGTAATCCAACTAAGCTTGGATAAACATTTTTTTCTTTCTCCCCTTAGAAGTATGTTCTCAGAAACTAGGGCACAAATCAGATAAAATTGTGGCTGCGAAATAATCTCTTCCTAACAGCAGCTATGCTCTCCTAAAGGACAAATATCTTCCAAACAAGATAAGCAGTTACACAGTAGGACAGAAGAGTTATATCCTGTACATGTGGGAGAGTTGGGAATTCTGATTCCTGAAAATTGTTTTGAAATTTTTACAAAGGGATGAAATACTACAATGTTGCTTGTAATATCTGTTGCTGGATATAGCTCTGGGTGGCTTGAACTCGCTGTCTCTCCAACACTTCTTGTTCTCTTTCTAGAATGGCCATAGGTGGCAGGTAATTCAAGACTTATTGGGAACTGATCAAGACAATCTTGACTTGGCCAATGTCAACCTGATGCTGGAGCTGCTGGTGCAAAAGAAGAAGCAGTTGGAAGCAGTAAGAAGTTTATCTTGTCTTATTTAAATCAACACTGTTGTCTGGTTAGCAGTCTCTTCTTTTCATGGTTTTATCTTCTTGGAGTAAGATTCCGTTGCCCAATTAATGGCTCAGAATTTTCTGTTGCGTTTTTGGTGTTGGAAAGTTGGCCATCTCACTGACTTTTGTAGCAAACTGACACTTCAGCTGTGACACCAAGAACATTCTTAGTGTTGCTGCTGGCAGGGTTGTATAAATGAGCAGGGAAAATGGAAAAGGATAATAGAAAATGGCTAGCAGAACAGAGAAATGCATATGAAGATGTTTGCTAGTTGAGTGTTGCCCAAGTAAATACTGGATCTTTCTTGGTAAATAAGCATAAAGAAGTCTAAAATCTAGGTTAAGGAATAAACTTGATGAACATTTGAAAAAGATCACATCTATTAGTTTTTACTGGAACTGATAAAACCTGAATGACTGCCATCCCCGAAGATTTTTTTTTTAGTGTTTAATGCTTGAAAGAAAAGTTCAAACGTCTTGTTTGAGGTTGGCTTGAAGATTTATGCAATGTGAAGCAAGCTGTTCCTGTGATTTGACTGACGTGCAGTTGATTTGGGATAGTTCTCATGTATTTGGTCATTCCACGCCGTTGGTCTTAAATGACCATTTTCCAGTTATGAGCCAGACCTGCTAAAGTAAACTGGATTACAAAATTTGGCCTAGTGAACTTTGGGCAGGAGGGTGGATTTCCATGGTGCTTTAAAACAGGTGAGGATAAGATGTATTTGGAGTGGCTTATCTTATTCACTCCTGCAGAATCAATATTTACACAGCTTATGGTTCTGGTGGAAGGAAGGTAACCCCAAAATATGTTTACTGACTACTAGCAAAACTGTTATATTACCCTATTGTGTAGGGTTTTGTGCATAACTCTTTTATTGTGGTTCAGTGAAGTTATGGTGGGAGAATGACTTCTAACTTCAGAGTAAAACCTCTCATGTTTTTTCTCAGGCCTTTGTTCCTATGTCTTGATCGTTTTTGAGTATTTGTTCCCAGTCCTTGAATAATAAATATTTTGGTGGGTTGTGAAGATAAATCCAGAATGCTGGGATGGGATTAGGGCTCTGTTACTGCTGGAATGTAGGTTTTATTTTCCTTTCCTATTGTGCTTCTCTTATCTTGCCCTCTCAAGTTTTTGGCTATTTTGGATGAAAATATTAAGCTGATGTTTGCAGTAAATTACCTGTTATGGAAAGTTTGGAAAGGGGTGTTCTGGTTTCATCAGTGCCTTTATTGTTGTCTTCCACTCCAGACAAATCTTCAGCAGTAATCTCTTTAGGTGAAAACAAATGTTAATTTTCAGCGGAGGTGCTTTTTTGTGTAAATACTTCATGCTTGAATATGTTAATCATGAAGTGGATGCTAATAATCTTCCAGGGTAGAAGATGAGTCTGTGAGGAACGTGTGTTCAAAACCCAATTTCAGATGCAGTAGCCAAAAAAAACTGAAAAGCATTTCAACGTGTTAGTAAGTCTTCAGTAATGCACAGAGAGCTGTGAAAACGATTTCTGCCCTCATGTAAAAACTTGTCGTGAGCCAAACAAAACCTTAAAACCTGTGAGGCAAAGTAAAACTACCATTCTTAAACCTGCCTCAAGCTATTTTATCTTCCTCACTTCTAAACAAGAGCTCTTTCTTTGAGCGTGGATTTCTGTGTCTAAAATGAATGTTAGTTTCTCTTAATGTATATGGAAGAGTTACACTTCCTTATTTACTGTGTTACAGGAGTCCCATGCTGCCCAGCTGCAGATTCTTATGGAATTTCTCAAAGTTGCCAGGAGAAACAAACGAGAGGTAATTTGCTTTGTGTTTCACTGGGTGAGGTGGTGTCTGGTGCTTTCTAGCAGTACATTTCTATTTAAGTGATGTGTTAGGCTGGCATTATTTCTGCGAAGAAGAAGGCAAGGCATGTTTGGGGAAATTTCAGGCAGAGGATGTATTGAGTTTTAAAGAAAATTAATCTCTTTACGTGTGACAACTTCAATTTTTAATCACTTGCCTTTTTTTCTCACACTGGTGAAACATGTGGGAAGATAGACTCCTCACTGCAAATTTACATCAGATTCTTGAAACAAGATTTTTTTTTTCCTGTGATAGGAAGACTGAAAGATGGGGAAGGAGTGAAATTGTCAATGAATTTTTTTTGGTTTAGTATATCAAATGCCATGGCTAATGCTGTGTCATAAAAGAAAGAATATTCTGTGCTCTTTCCTTATTTGTCTCAAAATGAGTGTCTCAAGGAATGCAGGAAGATTCCATAATCACATACACAGTCTTTCATGGTTTGGGAGTTACCATTTTTAATGTCATGCAATGCATAAACCCCAATACCAGAAATATCCCAGAAACAAAGAACATAAAACCCAACAGTGTTGACTGTGAGGTCAAACTTGAACTGTGTAAAGGCGATGGGTATAAGAAGCCTTGTCCAGAATGGGTTGAGGGCCTGGTTATGGAGTCACGCCGAAGCAAGTTGTTCAGATTCTGTCCGCCAACAGATATCCATGACCAGAATGAAATAGGGTAATGGAAAGGAACTAACCAAAGGGAGAAACTGAGTCCAAGATGAAGTTGCATTTGTAGAGTGAGACCTGCTAGGATAGGCGTGGTATCCCAGGAGAAGCAATGAAAATACTGTTTATTAGGATACCTGAATGTCAGAGGACAGTGTGAGAGCCAGGATATTCTCTAGTGTACTAAATGTGTAGATGAAGACAAAATGGCATTCTTCCACTTCAGATTGTTTGGTATGAAGCATACTATTTGTTTGATCCTTCAGGGCTGGAAAAAATGGAGACGTATATATTACTGTTATATTCTGCTTAAACAGCAGACACACAAGCATTGCTCAAAACCATTGAGATATTTCAGCTTTAGTTTTTTGAATGCTGGTAGAAGTTATTTTATGGTGGCTTAGTCTATGAACGCCTCTCAAAGCTTCAGAGTATCTACCTTTATTTTCTTGTATTCGTAATGTTTAGTACTAGGCAGAGAATTTCAGAAGCTTGACCTGTCTTCGTTGCAGAGCTAACGCAGACTCTGGCCGTTGTCCACTGGCACTTGCTAAACACCTTCCATCAGGATTCAGTACAGCTTGAGGGACCGTTGAGATATCAGGGAAGTTTCCTAGTAACGCTGCATTTGTGTAGGAGGTGAACTGAGAAGTAGGTGCTTCAGGAGGTTCATGCACAGCTTAGCTAGGGTGCTCTTCCTTGAGTAATCCTGTAGTGATTCAAGTGCAAGGGTGTTTGGGGCAGTAGCAAAAAGTCAGTGATGACTTTGCTTTGTCGTCCTCTAGCTGAAGCGGAGTTAGAACAACTGTCACAGGAGGGGCTGTTGATATCTACTGTAGTTTGCATGAGTGCAGAGTGGGAAGGATGAAGGTAAATTGTATAGCTTCTTGTTTTTAACATACTGTAGCACTGTGTTCCACCACTGACTATGATTTTCAGCACCTGGGAAACCTTCCCCATCTCATCTGCATCAGCCTGTGGCTTTAGTAATAATGTACAAGGATAGCATCTTTAAGGCTAAAGCAACTTAATTTTTGCTGTAGATCTCTGAATATGGCCTTGGGAACATGCTGAAGCCTGTTGGGACAAGTAACTTATTTCAGATCCTCTCTGTCGCTGCTTATGTGTTCCCTCTGTTGCCGAGACTTCCTCTAATGTTGTTTCTTAGCCCCCTTTATATTCCAAAGTGAAATGCAGTGTCATCTCAAAAGGCTTTCGTGCAGGCCTGTCAGTTCTGTCCTTGCCATAGTGGTTAGCATCTGGCCTTGGCATTTATTGTGAGGGAAATGAGGACTTGTCGGACTTGCTGCTAGCAGTCTTTCTTTTCACTTGATAAGGGTAAAAAAGATGTGAACCAGTGGGTAGAAGTATGGAAAGTACAGGCCTGTCAGTAGGGTAGTCTTAGAAAGATGTCAAAATCTGTCTTCAGCGATCAAGCTATACCCATAGAGTAAATAAAGTCAGTTGATGTTTCCTTTGTAGTAAGTCCCAAGGTCCTCCCTGTAGCTGGTGCAGTTTGACAGGTACCCCTTTCTGGAGGAAGCTTTCTGTGTGGACAATATAAAAGCTACGATTTGGAAAGGGCATGGGTTATGCTGGCACCGAAGAGGTATCCAGGCTGCAGAAAGCCTGTGATGCTGGTTTGGAAGCTGAGGAGGGGGGTTTAAGTGGCCATATTAATACTGCAGTAAAGCAGAGGAAGGTTATCAGAGCTTCAAAGTTTACTGTAGTTTTTTTTGATGCTGTAATAGGTGACTATTTGGGGAAATAAGAATGGAACTCAAGGAACATGTGTGGACCATGGAACGCTTCTATGATACATTGCACTTAACGCCTGCTTATATGACTCATAGCTATTATGGGGAGGGACACTACCTTTTTTCCTTTGCTAATTCAATCCTGGTTCTAGTAAAGATGACTGCAGAGTAATTGCGGTTTCACTCAGTAAGCCGTAGCTGTAACATTAAGTTCTTAATCCATAAAAAAGCTTCTTTTGTGTATGACAGTGCTTGTTTAAAATTTTTGGCTTAAATGTTTACAGGAATGTAATATTGCCTTGTAACTTTGTTTCCTAATATGCATCTGAACATTACTTATTGCATGATTTTGTTAACAGGTTGTATTACATACTGCAAATTCTTACATGGAGACTAGGTACTTTGTTACTTAGTACAGATACTGCCTTAGAGTTAGTGTACCTGTATAATATTTCACAACATGTTCAGAGCATATAGTTAACCACCTGTAACCCTGCTTGCTCGGTTCCCATGTAAGTTTTGTGGGTTTTTTCTCCTGCCTTCAAGAAACAGTGAGTTCTGAGCTTATGGGGAGGGCTTATGTCTAGAAGAAAACTACATCTTTACAGACTTGTGCTTAAGAATTCAGAATATTGCTGTAGTCAAGCATTTTGACAAATGCCTCTTTCTTGCACTTTCATAATTTGTCTAGAAGATAAATGTGAGGTTCAGTACCTGCAGAAGTTCCTGTTAGAAATCCTGTTTTGATGTGTTCATAGCTTTCCAAAACATTGATCTTTCAAGCTGAAATTTACTGCATGGTTTTGCACAAAGGTATCTGCAGGTCTTTTTTGTTTTAAGTTCATATATTTTGTTTTCTTTTTAACCTATGGCAATGTGGCCAAAAACCAAATCCTTGGCAATAGTAATAGAAAAAAATTTATTTGAAAAAGATTGAAAGCAAATGGGTAAAGCTTGAAAACACTTACTCAACAAAATAACAGCTGGTTTTGCAGGGGAGAAATGTATTGATCATCCACAATAGTTGCTTGTCTCTAAGACGAACTTGGCACGTCGCTGTGCCTTTCCATACATGTGCACAGTTCATTGAACGCACACTCTCCATTTTTTGATCCAGCAGGGTCTTCTGTTGAAATCAAGATCCAAGAGGTTTGGAAGGTCAAGTTTCATAATGAAATACTTGACTTTGGTGTTTTTTATTCCTGTTTTCAAGGGAAACAAATGCAAGAACTGAAGTGTTTAAAATTCATATTCTTATGCCAGAGTTCTAATGCAGTTAGTTTAGCTGTGTTGCATAAATGCTTTTGCAAGTTTAACTTTGTTTACTTTTAAATGATTGCATGTTCTTTCAGCTTGACCACTTTGAGAGAGCTGATAATATCAGCTAATACAAAAATTCTCCCCAGTCTTATATTCATCACTTTAAAAAGAGGCCTTACCAAATGCCTTGTCAGGATTTAAATGGTCCCAAATGAAGTTAGACACCACCACATATATCGTACATAGAATTTGTCCGAAAGCATTGTTAGCTCAGCTGCCTGATGGAGAGCGTTTGCTACTTTTGTAAAGTAGCACTGCTGCTTACTGAATGCAGAGCTTCAGGATTAGTATCACAAATCAAATTCTGCAACATATAGATGATACTCCCCAGATGCATTCATGTTTCTCTTGGCAGCTGTCATTTCATGTTTGTTTTGTGGGCATTTTTCTTTCTAATGTCACATTGAGCCTCTTTATGTAACAAACAGGACCTCTTTCATGTCTGCTAGTGCATGGGGGCTGTTTTATAGCTGGTAAACATCCTGGGACAGAGGAGTAATCCTGAAATGTCTCAGATCTGCAGCACTGAGTGCCTGCTCAGCATTTCGGAATCATGTTCGTTCTTTTCAGTCTCAAATGTGTGTATCTATCCAGCCGTCTTCACTTACTCCATGCTGTGAGCATGTTAAATACTAAAAATAAGAGGAGTTATTAGTTACTGTGGGATAATTGCAGGGAATTATAAGCATGAATTCTCCAGGGATGTCATTACCTTGTTAATCACTTCACCTGTCAAGTCTTACTGTTCTGCGGATACATGCATGGATGAACTAATGAGTAAGCAGGAGGAGGTGACAGAACCAGAAATCAGTCATGCTCTTATGTTGTCGTATAGTCTTGATTACATTCCAGGACTCCTGAGGTGAATTTATAGCTATAGTAATCTCTTTGCTATCCACTGCACTTCAATAGCTGCTATTTTAAATCTATTTGTATGTCTGAGCTACTCAATGAGACGTGAGCTCTGACTGCAGTGATAATAAGCCAAGGATACAGCTAATGTATCAGCAGCAAACTAGAGATTACCATATAAACATCACTGTATAATAGCTGACCCTCCCTGCTGCAGTGGAGAGGTCTTTCCAAAGAGAGTGGGGGCAGCCTAGTACGTGGAGCTAAGTAGCAGGTCTGGTGATGTATTAAACTCTAAGACAATTAATCTAAATGTATAGGCAGCTTTGTTCTCTGCCCCAGGTGTCCTTTTCTATCAGCCTCTGTCAGTACAGCTTCAAAGCATTACTTCTGCAACCCAGACTCGAGGATTTAAATGAGGAGGAGGAAAATTCAAGATATGAAATGCGTTTTGGATCGGCCAGGCATCTCCTTCCTCTTACCCTTAGGAATTCTGTGTTAAACAGCTCAACCAGGATGATGTTCTCAAGCCTTTCTGTTAGCTCTTCCCTAGTTAAGAGGAAACACTTACCATTTGGAGGAAGTATTGATCAGAGAAGAAATATTCCCTGGAGATAAATGTGTTATAGGTGGACTGCCCATGTGTCTAAAAGGCTTGGATGCCATGTTTTATTAATGAAAGTGACTTGTGCAGGCTCAGGTGTTCTTGTCTTCATACCGAAAGAAACCTTGCACCTTTTTCCACTTGTGCAAAGACTTCGTAACAGTGAAGTGTACGTCAGAAGTGAGGATAGCATTTAATTTAAAATCTCCATAAACTCCAAAGATGACTTCTTTGCTGTAGCTGCCCTGTATCTGAAGCAATAATGGAAGGAAAACCCAGAGACAGCCAAGACTTCCAACGGGTTTTCACAGACTGATCTTACTCGCTGTAGAGTTGTCATTGAGGTATTGAGTTCCATGGGAAGAAATCGGTTTCAGTGGGTACCTTTAGGAGAGGTTCAGCTGTTGATACAGAAGTTTACACTCGTTTTTGTTAGGGCAGTAGTTGATGGAAGAACTAGAAGTAGTAAGAGATCATAGTGGATGGATGGAGTTGTGGGATAAAGGGATTATACACAGAGATTACCTGACTTATCCTCCTCAGCTGGACAGGTGAGACTTCCTACCCTGTTCTGGCTGCTGCAATAACTGTGTGTGTCTGAGGAAAAAAGATACTCACTCTGGTAATCGTCTCATCTGTTTGTCTTTATCTATGGTGTATATTGTGATGAATGCATGAGGCGTCTTGGATCAGAGCCTTGAAGGTGTGTGACTGAACGTAATGCGTCTTGTGAGCTTTCAAAAGTGTGAATCCAGATGCTCTGTTGAAGCTGCTTGGTGGAATAGTGTTGGTGATTTCACAGTATTTCTGTTGAAAATAACTTCTGCTGTTCTTTGCTTGTGCTTTTTCTAGAATTGGAAAGACAGTGGGCCAAGGGTGTATGACTCCTTCCCTCATGGTTTTTCTAGGCCATTTCTTTCCAGGCAGTCTCTGTGGCACTGGAAGGCTTTACTGAGCTTTCAGTTTTTTTGCAAACATTTAGAACTGGCACCGGCAGACCCAGTTGGGACCGCTTGTTGTCTGTGCTGTGCAAATACAAAGGATGAAGTCACTGCCTCCCGAGGGGCCCTCGGTCTGGGAAAAACAGGAAGCACGAGGATGAAAGCTCAGCACTGTGCCCAGCTACGCGTGTTAGTAGGTAGCCAACTGAAATCAAACTGACCGTGACCAAAGTTCAAATTAATATTTCTACCCAAGAATCTTTTGTGGAAATTCAGGGGTATGGTGGGGTGTCTGAGTAACTCAAACCAGGGCATTTCTTTTCATCCACGTAGTCCAGAGCTGAGAGTTGTCTTTGAAGAACTCTGTGTGTGTGTCTAAGACGGCTTCAGACTCAGACTAGAGGGTTTTGCGGTGACTGGACTGCATTGTGGGTTTGAAAGGGGTTTGGAACTGAAAGAATGAGATGAGAGCCTGCGTTTCCTACCATGGTATCTTCTTGACTTGGATGTCTGAAATCCCTTTTCCAGAGATCATAAGAAACATAGGCTATTTTGAGGTCATCCTTTTTCTCTTGTATGTATGTGTTTGTGTGTAACGTGGGACCAGAACATTCTACACTTAGTCATTGTAGTTCATTCAGTCAAATTGAAATCATGAGGTTCAACTGCTGAATTGAAGCTTTCTCCTTGTCCACACTGGCTTTTTCAGTTCTGGGAAAGCATTTGTGTCCAAGAAGATTTTATAGTATGCGCTTCAATTTTTAGCGTACATTTTGGTGTTCATTCTAAGTGTTTTTGCTGACTTAATCTGAAGTTTGACAGGTGTGATTCTGCCCATCAGTGGGACAGGACTTAGCTTGCTTGCTGTGCCCAACATAGTGAAAATCAAATGAAGGGCCTATAGATCTGCATGAACTGCAAGGACTATAATTCACTTAGCTTTCCTTAAATGTCCCTGAATGGCTGGCAATTATAAATAGTCTCATTTTTCAAAGTTTAATTGGAATTAATGTGGACTGATTTAAGTATCTTGATAGATTAAAGCTAAACCATGAAACACTTGAGCCAACCTACCAAAAAAAGTCTCAGTTTGGGCATTAGTAACTCGTTTGATGCTGATGGCATGAGAAGACTTTTCATAAAATAAGCATGAAACATACTTGCCTGGTTTTTAGTCTTGCTGCTGTTGGGTAACTTTACGGTAGCTTCAAACTGCTTGCCTTAATGTAACTAGGAAGAATTAGTAGATAAAGTCCCAAATCTAATACTTTTGGCTCTGCGCAATAGTTAATAACAACTGGCCAATGAAAAATGCTCTTTTTCCTATAAAGAGGTCTCCTGTTTGTGATGGTGAAATTCGTCAGTTGTTCTTCAGTTGTCCAGTTTGGCTGCAAGCCAGGACATTGTAGAATAGCTGGTTTCCTTGCTGTAATTTTGGAACTTATGTTTTTGTAACTTCTTTTTGAATGGGACTTATGAAAGTGGGGGACTAATGGTGTCTGTCTGCTAGAGATGAGTACAGGCAGGACCCATGCTGTGCACGTGTCGCTTAACTTTGCCACCAATCTTGGAGCTGTAGCACCACCTGCTATTCTTGCTGTAGGTTTCACAAGTGAAAATGGAATTGTCTGTTAGTGTAGTGGTTTGTAAATTATCTGTGGCAGTCTTAGTTTTAGACCATTAAACTTGTGCTGTCTGTGACCCAAATTAAATATAAATGGAAACTTCAGAGTAGAGACACTAGGATACAAATACAATGTCATCTCATTCCAAGGAAGAAGTCATGTTAGAAACAGGCGTGGACCCAGCAGTCCTTTCCTCTCCTGTCTTCCGGGACAGAACCTTTTTTAGTGTTGAAAAGGTAAATTAAAATGGTGGATTATCTAATGCAGAGCACACTTATTCGGAATGTTGATCAACAGTGGGCATTTAAGTGGTGAGTGTGTTTTTGCTTAAGCAAAACTTTCTGCCACTTAAAGGATCAAGCTTAATCACTCAAGTGAAGAAGTCTTTGGGAGTAGCTTGCCAAATGTTCTTGGGAATATGTCATAGGAAGAGTAATATGACTTGCAATACTAGTAACTTCAGATATGGGCAATTTGATATTCCCTTGTAAAGTCAGAATGACAAAAAATTGCCTGGCCTTTAGAGAATGTGTTGTGCTTAATAAGCCTTCAGTGGACTTGCCAGCTTGGTGCCAGCTTCTGGTCATGTGCCACAGTGCTAGTTGTCTGTAGGTTTTTACTGGGAGTTGCGGAGAGTCAGGTGGACTTCACTTCTCAATGTGTTCATCAGACTTAGGTGTCTCGGTGAACTAGACTTGCATTAGAGTGGAGTTCTCTGTTTAGCTCCAGACTTGGAGCTCTCACCCTGGAGAATTGTGTGTGAGTCTTGCAAGGCTGGGTGTAGGCTCTGTGGGTGTTTGAATGGGACATGTCTGCTGAATGAGGGTGGGAATGAGATCTGGAGAGTAGATGATGCTCTTGCTTAGGGCCGAACAGTTGTCAAGCTGTGGCCTTACGTTTGCTAGGGTTGACTGAAGCCAAGCTGCTGACTGAAAAGTACTGGAAAAACCTGAAAAACATTGTGTGTGGCATGAAGAAGGGAAAGGGGATGTTTGCTGGTGAGAGGGGAAGTCCCCTTCTGACCCTTTTAGGGATAGCCCTGAAATTGCCTGGAGTTCATGGTGTAATCCAAGGTAAGTATCACACCTCTGAAAAATGCCATGTAGTGCTTGCTTGGTGCCAGGAGCAAATCTCGGTGCGGTCAGAACAGGTGGTGTTTTGCCAATCCAAAAATTTTGTCAGTAAGGTTAAATTGACAAATGGCAGATTAGCTGCTAGCAAGAGAAATGCTCTTAATACCTTTTAGCAAAACACTCTATTTTGTTGAAGGGTGAGATGATCGCTGTCTTTCATAGTGGTTTTTTTCTAATTATGTTCAGTGATTGTAAACCAGTTAGAAGTAACTTGCATGAAAGATGTTAGAGGAACAGAGTAGTATTACTTTGGATGATGTGAGTCTCTGTGATATCAAAGTATCTCATGCTCTTGTTTTGCACTGTTTCACAATAACAACTTTGTTTTGAATGTGGTTTATGTGCACGCTTATATTAATCTATGTATATGAACTTCCTGCCTAGTGACTTTTGAATTGTGTAGCAGGCCATTTAAGATAGTACAGGTTCCTCTCTGAAAAGCTTGTAATTTATCTTGCTGGTGGTGCATTGCAGATTGATTTAGACTTCTCCCATTCTCTTATCCACAGCAACTGGAGCAGATCCAGAAGGAGCTAAGTGTTCTGGAAGAAGATATTAAACGAGTAGAGGTGAGGTGCCCAGACATTGTTCTGACACTGGCAATTTTTCATTTTCATCAACCTGTCTGCCTTGCTGTGGGGCTGCTGTGTTAAATTTATGGCGTTTGAGTCAGTAATGGGAAAGTGAACAGATGCTGCTTTTTCTTTAATTTGTTCATTTAGTTGATGTGTGCAAGCTGCAGGTTGGTAAGCAGGGGCGTCATTGAAACTTATCTCTTAATCATGTGTTTCAATTTTTGTTGGTCATAAGTGTTTTAGAATAATTGCTAGAAATCAACAGACAATATATTAATCGTAACTTAGGATTTTTGTACAATGCAGTGTTCTGGCTATTTGCACAGACTGTTTAAATCGTCGCAGCGTGCTGCTCTTAAAATGGAGAGGTATTGGGAGGTGCACAAGCGCGCTGTAATGCAGAGGCTGGGTGGGAGCAGAACCAGGTCCTATTGCGTGTCAAAACAAAAGCAATCTGCTACCTCTTGATATAATTCTCCTAATTATAGAAATCTCTTGAGATTTTTTTTTGCGAAGAATTATTCTCCATGTATTTGTAAACCCATCAGCTCAATCCTTCTGTCCTTATTGAGTCCTTAGGTTCCTCCTTGGTCCTTTCCTCTAATCATTCTAGTGTTTTGATCTTGGGCTAGGAAACTGGTGTTTCAGGAATGTGTCAGACTGCCACCTCTCAAAATAGCATTCCCTTAAAGCTTCTTGGGAATCAGTTTGCTTCTCTTTTCTTGCTCGTCTCGCAGTCAGCATGAGCTCCCAACCACTGCCTAAAAACCTTTTAGGTTTCTTCACTTCCACTTTATGCGCATGCTGATCAATTATCAAAATATAAATAGAACTGACAACTGCAGGAACTTCCCTTCAACTGATGGCTACACAGATTGTAACTTGATAGATAACAGCATTTTTCAGACCTATTTCTCTAAATGTTTCTCAGCTTTTGGGAAATAAATATACCTTAGCAAGTTTTCCTGAGACTGGTAAAATAGGTCTTCAAATCTAGGAGAAGCTATTCCTAGAGCTGCGGGATCCCTCAAAGGATGTGTAGCTACCTGCTTTTGTACTCTTTAATCTGGCACTTCAGTGGACTGCAGCTGGGGGATGCATCCGGTGCATGATAGCGACCTTGGCTCTGACCTCTGAGGCCTGGGATCTCTCTTGTCACAAATACCCTACTTTCTACCTAACGACTAGTGGGCACCTAGTGGGAGTTTGAAAAGCACCAGTAATGTTGTCCTGGAACACTTTGCCCCCCGAACTAATGAGCTGCAGCGTCCTGCGTGGCTTCCATTTCTCCAACAGATGGAAGGTACAGTCTCACACGGGGCGTGCAGCAGCGATCTAGTCTGGCAGTGCAAAGCCAAGTTTACGTGCAAAGTTTCTCTTGGGCACTTGCCCCACAGAAGGCTGATAGATCCTCTTCGAAGTCTGGGGCACGATACCACCTTTGCCCTCTCGTCTTGTGGCTGTTCTTGCTGTGACCCATATCCAGCATTACTTTTCAGCTGCGAAGGCTGTGAGATGAGTTTATATGTATTGCAAAAATGCAGTTACAGCTTGCTTGTTCTGCCATGTGTAAGGGAGGTGCTGGGTTAGAGACAGCTGGATGGTAACCAAATCCATTGATTTTTTTTTAATGGAGTAGACACTCCAGAACTGTCTCTTTTGGGGTCAAAAGCACTGCAGTTGTAGGATTTCTGAAACCCAGTTGGAATTATAACTGGACAAAAAAAGTCTAAGAAAATCAATGTTTCTTCAGGTATAGTAAAGACTGCTAGGTGAGAGCTGAATAAATGTAGATACAGTTGGTCATCTGCTTGGAAAAAACATAATTACTCTGTGAACGTGGTACATTAGATAGTGCCCACTATTCATGTGTTGTCAGCTGTGCTGTAACGTGGCTTTCTGTTTCAGGAAATGAGTGGCCTTTACTCCCCAGTCAGCGAGGACAGTACGGTGCCGCAGTTTGAGGCCCCCTCACCTTCACACAGGTATGGAGCTTGCAACTTGAACTTGGATTTTGAGCTGTACATATCACACTATTTGCTGGTCTTCTCCATGCCATGCCTAAAACACAAGCAAAACTAGTTTTTTTGAGTGCCGTACAATATCTTGCTGTTCTGTTTTTGATTGGTATAAGCTTTATGTGAACAAAGCAGTGAAGAAAAAACCATCTGAACCTGCAGCTGGGTGACAAGTCTGCTCTAAACCAGATGCTGTGGAAAGCTGATGGTTTTAAATGTAGTGTGGATTAGTTAACTTGAATCGTAAGCCTTTGTTATGGTATGAGGTGTTACTGTTCAGTACATGCTACCTTTCTGAACATTATGCAGTTCTGCTCGGCATACAAAAGATCTTAATTTTGTATGAGATCGGTGTTCTCTGGCTTCCCCACTCAGTGTGAATGGCTAAAGGTATGGGCTCACAGCATCAACATTTAAAATACACTGCCTATCGATTCTGTTTGTGTGCTGTTTTAATTTAATGAAATGCCTTTCTAATAACATATTTTCAATGTGGTTTTGTGTTTGGAATATGGCATAGTCTACTTTCTTGATGATAAAATTGCAGATGCTTCTAGTCTCCAAGTTGCATGTGCCAGGGTTTGAAGTGCTCTGCTTTATAGCTGTGGTTTTTGGTTGTAAGAAAGCTCTGTTTTCATAGGGCCGAGTTATATTATTAAATGATCATCTCTCCTATCTCCCCAGTGTATTTTCCCAATAGCAGAGTTCTCTAAACTTGACTTCTGTAAAGTTGATGACTTTTGTCAGGTTCTACTAGTTTTCGTTACTGGCTATTAAATAAATTGCTTGCTGTTTGCTTCATGATACTGCTGCTTGGGGAAAATGTGAGCACTGGTTGGGCTGAATTTGTTGCATTCTGAACACCTTCAGGCCTAGAAACCTTTCTTTTTTTGATAGAAGATTGTACTTATGACTAGAAGTGTATCTCTATTACTTGAGCCAAGCTAACAAACAAGCTCCCAAAGAGCGCTTTTATCTGTTGAAAGCTGGAATAAGATTTTAAGCCCAAGAGTTCTGATGAAAGTCGGGGTGGGGAAAATCTGCTGTGCCAGACCTACACTGGTTTCAGTCTACTGAGAATTTATCATTCCTCATACCTGTTTATTTCGTGTTTTAGGGTCAATCATTCTCAGTTCTTGCTTCTGAAGATGTAAGATAGTGTCCAAAATATTTTTGTCACTTTGGATTGATGTCTCACCTGAAGTCTGCTGGGAGATGGCGGTGGGTGAGACCATGGCACGTGCAGAGCCCATGGGCTGCCCTTATGGTTGTCTGGTTCCACCTTGGCTGTGTTTTGAAATTTTGGGTTTGTCCTCTGGTACAGCGTGCGAGGGGTGTGATAGAATAGGATATTTAGGGGGTTTCCAAAATACATGGGGTTGCCTTTTTCTCTTGGCTTGAGAAGACCCTTTTTCTGTTTCTCAGTCACGTTCCTGCATTAAGTAGTATCTTGAGTGGTTGAAGAGGGAATAGTAAGTGAAGGAAGTGTCTGAACAGGCATCAGTCGTTGCCGGACTCTTGTAACTTCTGTCCCCGCCCTATCCTGGCAGTTTTGTGTAATTCAAGTAATTGAATTGGTTTGAATTACCAGAACTCACATTCCAGAAACGTCTACCACTTGAAAAAATTAATTTTCTTTCTGACATTAAATTACAGTTTTGGAGAGTATCTCGAACTGTAACTTTGATTCCTACTTGGAAAGAATGCTGCAGAACAACTGATAGGAGCTTTAAAATATGCTGATTTTTTTTCTCAGCTACATTAACTGAAATATTTAATCCCCAAAGTGTATTTTGGAGATGCTGTGAACCACTAAGAATGAAATACAAATACAATTTGAGATGGTTTCACTTCCATGTTAAAATGTTAAGCTTGCAGAGACTTTTAAACTTATCAGTGAATTAAAATGGTATATTTAAATTGGAATATAACTTGTTAACATGCTTAACACCCTGGTAATGAAATATAATTGTATAAAACTTTACTGATGTGTCCTATAAATAGTACAGGGTTATCACAGACCCGTGCTGAGATGAAGAACGTCTCTTTAGCCTTTGAATTCAAAGTTCAAGAAAATAGAGTTCTTTGGAATTTGGTTTTATCTGGTCTCTAGTGACTTGCCCTTATTCATCTACTGCCTCTAAATCACAGGCTTGCTTCATTAACTCTGTTTCTTTTATTGTTTGTAGCTTTCTTCCCCACACTCTTAACATCTTCAAAATGTGAAATTACTATGCCTTCATAACTTTCCTTCAGTTCTTTAGCAAAAAAACAAGTACAGCCATCATGTTCAATCCATTCTCTGCTTCGAGACATGTTTTCTCCCATGATCATACAGGCTATGATGAAATATGAAATTGGGCAATAGCACAGGACTTGTTTACAGCGTTTGCAGACTTCTGGATTTGTATACTAATAGAGAACAAGAAGGGAAGAATCAGGGAAAAGAACAGATAGTTCTGTGTCGGGTTTTTCTGAACAGGCACGCGTGCTATTTTTGCTACCAGTAAATGGTGCAAATGGGAAATACAAATCGGCGGCTTCTCCAGGACTGCATATTGAGGAGTAATAGCAATAACAAACTATCACTCTAACAGGAGTTTCTGGGGAAAGATTCGCATCTAAAAATTAGTTGCCTGGTAACTCTGATTCAGTTATCGAAATCCTGATCTCCTCCATTTGTTCTAATGAGCCCCTCCCACCCCTGTAAGGGTGTAGCAAATGGGAGTTGTTATATCTTCAGGTTGCTGTGGTTTTGGTAGTGGTGTTCCAGGCTTAAATATGTCATGTTAGCGTAGCTGAATTTCCTAATTGAACCTAATGTTACAGCTTTTTAAAAAGAATTCAGAGGGAACTTTTGTAATTTTTCCTGATTATTTACTTCCTGTTTTTAAAAGGGAAAACATTCAAGCATATGCCAGTTAACTCGGCTACAGGCACCACACAGAAATGGCTTTGAATTTGTATTCTGGTTAGGGAGATGACATCTGCGCTCTGGAAGGCCTTACATCACCAGACAACCTGCAGCACAAGGAGACCAGACGCTAGAAGTCTGTGTTTGGCTGTTAATTGCCACTATACCTGTCTCGGAGTGGAGTACTTTCTCATTGCTTTCCAGCCGAGCGTCTTATTCGTGCTGTTCCTGGCAGGATCTGCTGTATGTGTTTCATTATTTCATGTGGCCGCATTCTGATTTAAAGTTCGTTGTTCCTGAACATGCCTGAAACAGCTCTGCTGTTTTCGCCCTTGCGATAGCTCGCAGCAAATAATGATTTTTATCCCTCGGATTTTCTCGGTTTGCAGCTTTTGTCTTACCTGTAACAGAAGCCAAATCAATCTCATCTTACGAGTTAACCGCTAATGAGACTTAATTGTCGCTCATCTTCTGTTTCTACTTCTTCCACCTCCGGGGGAGCTTGAAAACATTCAGAAAAATACTTAAGCACTAGTGGCACTGGTTCATCCTTCTAGACTTACAGTTGCCCTGACCAGCATTGCAGTCAAACCACTTGTTTTATGACCCAGAAGGTCAAGTCTCCGCATCAGTTCTGGCAGCTGTTATGTGAACATCAATAGGTACAATCAGATTTTACAAATCAGGACCTATAGCCATGTTCTGGCAGCTTTTTAGAGACCTTCAGTTTTCCCAAGCAATGCCTAAATCTAAGGTTACCTAGTAAGTAAGACTAAGAATAATGAACCTGGACCGTTTCTCTTCTGTCCAAGTCTAGTGCCATAAGAGAAGCGAGTTATACTTTCAGAAATAAATCATGGTGATGTTTGTAGTGTGTTCTCTGTAACTAATTAAATGCTGTTCTTGTGTACTAATCTTTCCTAGTCCTAAAAGTATTTTAAATTTGAGTGATAAGGGTGCCTTAATCTAGCTCTGGTGTCTTACTGTGAGAGCTAAAGATTTTGCCCTTATATGCAAGAGTACTGAACCGCCTGTCTTCTGCTTGTATCTGTGGAGCCTTTGGCACTTTTGAAAGTTAAATCTCTTTGAGTTTGCCGATGTATGCTATGTTTTTAGAACAGGGATTTAAGGTATGTTGTGTTATTATAGATACTGTGTAGCTAAATATGGTGTGGCATTTTCTAATAATAATAATGCTGAGTATTACGTTTTTTTAGTTTATTTCTGTATATCATTACTTGTGTCAGTTTTGTGTGCCTTCAGAGATGTCTGGAATACTAGTGTCTGTCTTAAACTAAATTCTTTAGATTTTCACTTGACAGTGCTGTTTCAAATGCCATGGCATTAAACTTCTCTTTTTTTTTTTTCTGAAAGGAAGGGAAAAGCAGTGGTAGCATGTTGTTTTCAGTGTCTTATACTGTGTGTTTCAAACAAAAGATATGCTTTTGCATTCTAGTTAGAAATTATTAGATTGCAGTACACATAATTGTGTGTGACACCATTCTGCTCTAGGATATCCCTGTGTTTGTAAAACAAACAAAAATCCTTCCCAACCCCTCAGACAAAAAATAACCTTGTGTTCCCTGTCTGTAAAATGAATTTTAAAGGTGAGTATGCTGCAGGATGTACGGGGGAGGGGGGGAAATAGCAAACAGGTTAAAAATGATAAAGGGTGGTTATACAGTGATTTAAGCAGACTATTTCTTTTGGTTTTGCAGTAGTATTATTGATTCCACGGAGTATAGCCAGCCTCCAGGCTTCAGTGGCAGTTCTCAGGTAAGGCAATACACATGTCTGTGTGCAGGGGGGACGGGAGAGTAAATGGGGAGGTTGGGCAGAGATTAGGCACAAATCTGTCTGTCTCCAGGGTACCGGTCAACTGGAGTCTTTCAGATGCTTTTAACTGGTTATATGGGCAAACTGGTGCCAAGACTACAGCTGTAGGAGTGACTGTGCATGATTGTGAGTGCCCACACTGATGCCATCAAAGAAATCTGGTGTAATATATTTAGACATCTGACTTAATTCCCAAAGCTGACTCTTCTGCGGAAGAGGGGATATTTTTTGCTCTTCAGTTCTGCTCCCAAGTGGGCAGCATTTTGGAAGGGAGGTAAATCCCTGACCTTCTGTGTTCACTTAAATGGCTTTGGATCAAGCTTGACTTGCAAAACAAGAAGCATTCATTCTCCAAACATACAACCATTCTGTAGTTTGTCCTTGTTAGGGCCTTACAAACTGTACCATAAATCTACATGGAAGGTCAAAAAGGTGTGTGTACAGTGAAGCTGTGTGGCAGGCAGCCTCCAAACTGCCTGATCCACAGGGCCTCCCAAATGCAAACAGCCCTGCTGTGGTCTTGCAGCTCAGAGTGGTGCAGCTGGGCTGGGAATATGACACTGGTACCCAGCTCATGGCTTCAAAAAGGTTAAACAGGTTTGATTTAGACAGTCAGACTGTTGGTTCCCTGCCAGCTCATGCCTTTGGTGCTCTCTGGTGGTGGTGGACCATCCATGGCACACAGCTGTATCGAACTGGTAAATAAAGCAGAAGTGCTGTTGGATCTTATCTGAGGGAGTAACTGAGAGAAACAAAAAACACCTGAATTTTGGGCTGATGCACATGTATGTGTGCATGCAGGTTTGGGGGTTTGTAGCTGTATAATGGGTAATTAGAAATTTTCCTCTTAATTTGTGGGAAAATGCTTGTCTTTCCTGTGGTCTGGGAGATTCTTGCTTGAACAGGGAATTGCATCTCTGCCTCACTTCAGAGGGCAAGGGAAATGTGGTTGGAGGTCTTATGTTCAGGACTGATTATGGTATAGTGCGTTTGTTTTCCCCTGACACTACTCATCTCAGTACTTTTCTGTTTCAAAGGCAAAATTAATGGCATAGCTGTACTGCTGGTAAGCACACAAAACAAACAGCCTAGTCTTTCTAGTCATTCTGTATGACAGCCTTATTTGCGTGAAAATAATCTTTTCTGTCCTCAAAGGCAATTTTTTTCCCTCAAGAGTGCAAGATCTGTACTCTCTAGTGAAAATTTTTGAGTTAAACTTTAATATATGTTTGGATGGGGAGTTGAAAGAGAACTCTTGAAGTTAAACTTTTCATTCAAAGGTAGTCTAATTTCAGCAAGACTTTACCATAAAAATAGTTTGAAGAATATAAATTCAATTGTGCTTTTTTCTGATTGTCAGTCATGGCAAAAATCAGAGATTGGGCACTGCTGACAGCAAGGAGCTATGCTTGGATGGACAGCATAGCTTTCCTTCTCAACATAATTACTTTGTGCATTGCTCACAAATGTGTTTTTAGGGAAGGATTTATACACCACAAAGCTACAGGGAAGTTTTCTTCCACAAGCTGAGCTTCAGAAGTAAATAGTGGACAAGTCACATAGGCCCTGGGGAATTCTGCGGGTAGCATTTATTGGCAGTACTTTTCTGCTGGAAATAAGGAGTTTGTGTAGCTGTGAAGCCTTTCCACAGTTGTTAGAGGACTCCTCAAAGCACCTAATGGAGTTCAAGCGATAAAATCACTCTTGATACCAGAGCAGTCCTAACTAATGTCCTCAACCATAGTAGTTTTAGCAGCTGAATAAAGATTGCTTGAGTATGTTTTCTCTCCTTTCTCTTTTTTTAATTCCTGTTTCCCACCATTGCTTAACCAGGGAGCAGGCTTCATAGACACTCAATAAAAGCTTTGGTAAAACATGAGCAGCTTAAAATGCTTAGCTGGGGAGGATCTGGTGAAGATGGGTTAAAGCAGATTGATTCCCAGCACAGCTGGGTTGCTGTGTGCCAGCCTGAGGCTTGCTCTGGGGGATCTTCCTCTGGAGAACCCAGCAGATGTATCGCACAGCAGGCAGATACTCACCATGATTGATTCTACCTCAGCGTGGCCTGGGCTCATCTGGCAGATCAGACTTGGGCTTGTATCACTCATCATGTCGCAGGCAGCTTCTCTGAACTTGAGACTGAAGTGATTGCTCTTCGATACCTGAAGTAGTCTTGAGCCCTGATCACTCCTGATGTGCTGAGAGAGGCTGGAGCCCTTGCAGGCTGGTGTGCAACACTGATAGGAAGATGCTGTAAAGGTGTCCTGTTAGGCATTGCTTAAAGCTATGAAGTCTTAGAAAATTGTAGCTGGAAGGTGTTGAGGCAGGAGTACTTTGCAGTGTTCTAGTTGTGGGTTGAGACCGGAGCTGCGTAGACCATAGGTGCTGTCAACATGCAAGCGCAAGTCACGATGTCAATGTATAGCTGGGGCCCCCCATGGGAAGTGGCCCCTGGAGGTTCCACTGCTTGGGGTTTGCTTTTTCCCTGACGTGTTAGGTTACTGTTCATACAGGAATAAGTAGAATTTTGACATAGTCTGTGAACTTAATTTGTGCTTGATGGCTGTAATGAGGGCAGCCTGTCCTACATGGACTGAGGGGGAGTTGAGAGTGGGTTTTGAGTGCCATTACTGGCCTTGTACATGGACAGAGATGAAGTTCATTAGGGAGCTTGATGGTTCTCAAACCTTTTAATATTTCCCCATTAGCTATGAGTATGTGGCATGTGAGGCTTCTTAAAAACAAACTAAAGCAAGGTGCTCTTCATGCTGCTTGGGTAGTAGAGGAATTTGTTCCTTTTCCTTGCTAGTGATTAAAATGAGAAGTATTGTATCTTCTGTTTTGCTTCAGGAGGAGTGCTTACTTACGTGGTTTCAATCCTTTTCTTCTGCCTCTCACTATTGCTGCTTGGGTAGGTTGGGAAATGGCTTTAGTGATGAGTTTCATGAACTTCTTTTTTCAATTAGCCTTTGAACTTCCTGTCTTCTGCTTCTATCTTTATTTGCTTAGCTTTACAGAGAGTTACTGAGTTGCTTCAAAAGAAATAATTCAGTAACTAACTCTTTAAAGTAAACACCTCCATCTCTTTGTAATGAGCTGTCTGCCAGGGATCTAGGAAATATCTGTTGTACAGTCTGTTTGATTTGTGAAGCTGGGAGCCCGGTATCTTTGGCCTCTGCTGTCTATCTGTGTAAATGCAAGGTGTGACTCCCCGAGGGTTGCAGCTGTCTGTCCTGCGTGTGAGCCTGGAATCAATAAATTTGTTAAGGCTTGGGACAAGAACTGTCTAAAAGCAGCTTCTCTTGTTTGTCAAGTTAAAGTTTGCAACACGGGACCCTGAGAGTAACTGTTGACAGTGGCAAGATCTTAATTTATTGTCATTTTACACTTCTAACCCTTCACATGTAATGTATAAGTTGTTTATGGTTTGGTAAAACCTATTGAAGTGAAACCCAGGCCTGGCTTTACCTTTCTGAAGTGTTCTCTCATCTCTGTTCAGACCAAAAAGCAGCCGTGGTATAACAGCACGCTAGCCTCGCGACGCAAGCGGCTCACAGCTCATTTTGAGGACCTGGAGCAGTGCTACTTTTCTACCAGGATGACACGTGTCTCGGGTGAGTTCCTCTTGCGTGGTGTTCATGTCTGATGTCAGTTACCTCTTACAGTGCCTCGCCCTCAGCAAAGACTTGCTGTTGAGAAGAGCAGCTTTTGCTTCCTGCTTGCATGGGAATGTTGATACACATATTTATGTGTTAATCAGAACATCCTGTTGTGCTTTTCTTGACCAATCTTTGAAGTTGCTACATTTAGAAAACTTAATCCTGTCACTTTGGAGGGGTGCATGTGTTGCTTTGTAATCATCTGCTGTGAAGGGTGTAACCCACCAATAAACAATTTCACTGGTGCTCGCTCTGAAGATGCAAATGTTTGAAAGCAGTGGTTGGGGTTTTGTTCTGCTAGATGTGGTACGAACACAGCAGTTAAAAACATTGCCATTGAGATACTACAGAGGTATAAACATAAATTGATAAATTCTCCTGTATTTAGCATGCGATGGGACACTTGGAGGCTATCCTTTGTCTAGATTGAGTCTTGGCTAACAAATGTCTTGGAGTATAGAAGCTGAGTGTGCAGCAGCAATGTTGTCCCAGGGGGCACACCTTAGATTTAAGGCTTGTTTTGTAGAAGTAGAAGCTCTTTTCACAATTGCCTAGATTGCCTCATTCATAATTGAGTAACAGTGTGACAGCAGCTAGGGTAGCTGTTACCTAGTGGATGGATGGGTCTTAATTACATGACAAGGTTCTCTTAAGAAATGAGCAGGTCAAATGAATGTCTTGAGGGCAAGGAGGGTTGCTCATGCAGCCCCTCTGGGGAAGGAACCGGCTTTGGGAAGAAAGCTTCAGGCAATGAGCTGTGGCAGGCAAGAGGTTTGCAGTGCCAAGCTGTGGGCTGCACCTCGTATGAAGAGTGACAGACTGCAGTGAGGAGCGGGGAGCAGACAGCCCGCAGGGGATGGGATAAACCTCCTAGGGACAAGAGGGAGCCAGGCAGAGGTTGCTGCAGCAGAGTATATTCACTGGTAGCCTTGGAAGGCAAGGACCAACCTCCCAGGACACAGATCAGCAAGAGATGGGGTAGAAACCCTCTGCTCCTTTTTTTCTCTGAATTTAGTGAAATTTTATTCACTTCAATAAAAACAAAGCTTGGTTGTTTTTTTAATTTGAAAAAAATAAATTGGCTTGAAGTTTAAAAGCTGCAAAATGTTTTAGGGGAGCTCACTCTTAGATATGTCTGCATCTTCCACCTACTCCAGAGCCGTGACTAAGTTCTCATCTTGGGCAGCAAAATAATTTTAACGGGGAATGCAGCCTGTGGAGAGGGTGCTTCAGCGGCTGGGAGTGGGGAGAAGCCGGTTTTGTCACCAGCTGGTTTCCCGTGAAGTGCTGGCAAGTGCTTTGCAGAAGACAGTTCTTCACAGATCACACCGAAATGTTTTCATGCAGCGCTATCTCGGCAATGCAAAATTAAACAATTTTAATTAAGTTAAAATAATACTTAAAATAATATTTAAGTTAAATAATACTTGTTAACCAAGGACAACAAATGGGGCTCTTCCCAGCATTCCCCTGTAGCAAGACATCTTTCTTCGTAATTGGAACTATAAATATGAATGCGGGAGACTGTTCTTTGTATTCATATGTCAGCTGCACCAAGAGCAGAGGATTTGCAATTGCGGGTTTTTTCCTGAATAAAGGATAACCTGTGCTACTTGATTAAGTTTTCTTCTCAAGTCATTCCTGTTTTTTGACGCATTTAAAATCGGATTTAATGTGGATTTAAAGCTTTTTGCAAGAAGTGCCGATGACTGTTCTAGTATGGAGTGGAGACGTAGTATAACTGTAATTATGAAATGGCCTTGCACTTTGACAGGGAAAATGTCTTGAGAAATAACATTCGGTTTTCCAGGCACAGATACAGGATAAATGACAGGAGGACTGTGTGCTCGATCTCTGAATGAGGGGAAATGGAAGAGTAGCAGCTATTTGTTCCTGTCATAGTGTTGAAGGAGGGAACGGTCTCTGAAACACCCTGGCTGATGTCCATGTGCTTCATCTTGAGCTGTTTCCTGTAGTGGCCAAGTGCTGATGATTTTAATTTGGAGCAGCACTGGGTTCATTTTGCCCCTTTTGATCCATCTGACATGGGTAATGCGTATGCTAGTACCCTTAAACATGCTAATTACTAGCCTTCACTGTTCCTTTGTACAATCAAACATTAAACAGCATGTAAGGGACACTTCAAAATGCCTTACAAGTCTAGAGCAAGATAATAGTTTCTGATGGCAAGGAACTACCAGGGTGCAGAAAGTGATTATGCTCTCTGTTTTCCCACAAGAAATCACAGCTGTGTCTTGCTTTTATAGATCAACCTCTTCCTTTCTTTTCACCCCAGTGTTTCCAAAGCTTTCTAATAAGTGAAGCCTTGTTGTTTCCTTATGCTGCTGGTAAGGATAACTGAACGAGTGGGTGGAATTTGATCTCAGTCATGTGTATGGTTTCTCTGCTGCTGCAGTGGGTGCTGTGGTTTAACAGGAGCCAAGGTGTGCAGTACCTGTGAACCGAGGTGCTGTCTGTTTAGTGCTGCGAGAGCAGCGATAGCTGTACTTCCACTACACTGCACTGGTGCAAAAAAACAAAGCGAAGGTGGGAGCAATAGAGGAGGAAAGGGAGAATGGCTGCAAATTCTGGGAGTTATTACAAAGCCTGAAGACTCTACCTAAAGTTCGACTGCAGCTGCATGATGGCATTGGGAACCCTGACTCGCCCACGCAGTATCACTGTAAGTTAGGAATTTTTCCTTCTTTAGGAAATACTAGATTTTAAAATGGCTTAAATAGGATTCTGTTCATAGCAAGAGAAGTTGGGACTTCTGAGGAATTGGGAAATGACTTTCAACTGTCTACACTGCAGTTCAGTTTTAACTTCTGTAGTAAACTGTTCCATTTCCCACAGAATATTTATCATGATTACTCAAGCTGGCTCAATGTCACCTTGTCTGCTGAAGGTCATAATTTTCACAAAACTCACTGTACGGGGAGTCTTTGGGTTTCATGCTTGTCTTCCTGCTCCAGCCCTGAAACAGCTCTCCCTTAGCTCTGTTGCTTTTGGAGTAAGAAGACAAATATTTTTTATTGAAAGTATTTTGAATGTAATTGACACCAAATGTAGGCATATTGTAACAGAAGTATGGGGAGAGGAATGTACTTTCACCTCCACAGAAAATGAAACATGTTCTTCACAGTGCATTTTCAAGTGCTTAAAGTTTTCTTGTTAAGAAATGTTTTCTGTTAGTAATCTATACAGCTCATGGGCTCTGAAATTGAATAAAATAGAAGAGCTTACCAGGAGAGCTGTATTTGTGATCTCTGGGAAGATTCTCAGCACACTAGGTTCACCCAGTGTTGTAGTGGCAAGACTAGATTTGTGCTCTGAAAAATCTCACTGCCTTCAGGGAATGCTAGAGGTGCAAGAACCTGGTTTTGGCGAAGAATTGTCCCCAAATAACAAGCAGAGGTGGTAGTGGCATGTGAAGGCATACATCTTGATTTTTTTGTTGTTGTTTGTTTGCCATTGAGTTTGTTTATCTTGTTCTGTTTCTGTCCTCCCCAATGCTGCTGCCTCTCCCTAGATGACAGCAGAACCATGAGCCAGCTGGATGAGTTTCAGGAGTGTCTCTCCAAGTTCACACGCTACAATTCTGTCCGACCCCTGGCAACGCTGTCTTACGCTAGTGACCTCTACAATGGCTCCAGCATAGTATCCAGGTAAGACACTGCATCTCTGACAGCACATCTCATGCTGATACAGGCTGCTGAGGCCGAGTTAATAACCCGTATTAAACAAGTTATGGTCTGTACGCTTTGCGGTCACTTCCCCAAAATAGTTTTATGAATGTGTGATTATCATTGATCTGCGAAGGCACTCAAGTATCACGGTAATACCTCTTATTCCTGTTGGTGTTGGTCAAGGCTGAAGGCAGAACCTTTGAGGTGTCAGCAAGTATCTGCAGCTGTTGTGATAAAGCACGAAGCCTGTTGTAAGCTCAGTCCTCTTGATGTAGTTGCGTTGTAAGTGATGCAGCTCTAGTATTTTAAGAAACATCCATCTTGGTGTTGGTAGTTGTAAGAATCTGTGGTGGTTTTAAATATTGTTGGCAGATACAGTTGTAATTATATAGATTAAAAAGCTGAGTCGTTTTTAACTGCAATTGCTTGAACTCTTGAGCATTGGAAGCTCTGTTTACAGTGCTAAATAGAGAGAAGGTGGTTGTGGTAAAGCCAAATCAACAGCTCTGTATTCCCTGCCCTATAGGGTGGTCATGTCCTGTGCACCACTGCTGAAGCTCATCTGAGCCTCCCGTGGACCAGTCTGGACACTGAACTAGTGAAATGCTATTGACTGTCTATGAACAGAATTAATTTCTTCTAGTTTAGCTCCATGAACCAGCTCCCTTTGGGATCAGGCTTAGGAGAGTGAATGGGGTGGGGAGAGGCTGGGACCTGCCAACAGCCGGAGCCTTGAACTGGTTTCAGCAGCTGTGGAAGCATACCCTGGGGGATTTAATTAGTCTGTGGTAGCTTGTTTGGAGCTGGCTGTGGTGGAAAAAGTTGTGCAACATGTTAACTGGGAGATCTTTTCTGCATGGTGTGTATGCTGGACCCGTTAGCTTCTTACAGGCACGTTTCACAAATTTAAATGCATTTGTTCACAGCAGCCTTTTGAGGGAAAGAAGTAGTATCATCTCTTTTTTTTTTTTTCATACATGGGGAGCAGAAGATCCAAAGTAGCCATACCTGAGGCCTGGAAAGAAATATTACATATGAAAAACATTACAATGATATATAATATTAGAAATATTACAGTGTAATAGAAATATTACAGTGACACAATGAGTTGAGCTTGGGTTTTCTGAGTCTTGATCTAATGCTTTACGAAGGGGCCATTCAGACAGTGACAGAACAGCTTAAATGTTTGTTGAAAGACTCCAGGAAACTTGCACTGTGTGAAGAAATGGAGGGATGTGTAGCATAGAACACATTTGTTTTTTTAAAGCAGCATTGATTCCATAACTACTGCAATATGTAGCAGGAATATATAATGTCCGACTTCACCGCAGAGGTCAGACCACAATAATCACTGATCTGATGTATATTTAACCTGCACTGATTGGGTTCACACTAACTGCAATGAAATGCAGATGGGAATCTCGCTGCAACGTAGACAAACTTCCCCAGTTACCAACTTCAGCACGGATTGCATTTTGCTCCTTTGCCCTTTCTTCTCCTTGACATTCTGCAAGAGCAGCATTTTTGTGGTATTTGGTTAGAAAATGCTGGAAGGGCAGTAAATCTCGCTCCCATTTTGAAGGCATTACAGTTCTTGGGTGAAAAATGCTTGAAAAGTGTGTGTGTGTTACTGTTAAAATGAAAGTACTGTGGGACCTCCCTCCAAGCCAGTACTAGAATCCGTAGTTAAATGCATTTAGCTGAAAAATAACTTGGCTTCCAACTCTGTGTTTTCCCCTGCTCATGCTTTTTATTTATCTCAAAGCATTTAAGAAATTTTTAGGGGTTTTAGTGCGTGGGCTGAGTAGGACTGTTCACATCTGAGCGTGTCCGTAAGTGCTTTGGTAAAGCAGGGCTGCTGAATGTGCTGCTGCTGTAGCTCTTGTTAGCTTCTGGCTATCCAGACAGTTCCTGTAAAGTTAGAATTCGTTAACCGAGAGTTTACGTGTAATGTGTTGGCCAGCACACTGCTGTTCTTCACCGTTGTTCTTCATCCGATTTAACAGACTCAAGTTCAGAGAGAGTTTGTGAAGCTAAATGAGGTGTGTGTCTCTGCGATGGCAGCTTAAGATAACAGAGCAGCTTTTAGGTATCCACGGATGGGCCAGATTAATTATCGAGGTGCTCTAAAAAGCTTTTTAACTGAGTGAAATGCTGTGAAAAGTTCAGTCACCTGGCCAGCTGCACTGGCCTCTGAAGGTGTTGCTGGGCATGCTGTAGGAAACAGATGAAATAATGACAGAAAGTAAGTCTGGCTGCTTAGCTGTTGCTGTTGAGACAAATGCGTTTAAATACAAAGGAAATATGAGGATTCCTTTCTTATTCACCTTAATTTTTTAAAAAAAGTATTTTAAAGGGGTATTTTATGTATATTTAAGAATAAAAGCAGAATTGACTGGAAGTTAAACTTCCTTGTACTTAGTTTAGATTGGTTTATTAAAAAAAAAAGAAAAACCCCACAAAACAAACTTTTTAGAAGCAGTTAGGTTTTTTTTAAAAAAACCCAAACTGCTGTTACAAGCAGATAGAATATAAGGGTGTTTGGTTTGCATTGCTTGAACACTACATGAAGTTCACACGCTGGACTCCAAAAGCGCTGCTGGCTTAAAGGGGTTTTTAAGATGTATTAGCTTTCTGTTTGCAAAGGAAGATGATGGAAATTATGTTCCTTATCCACAAAACCTTGATGCTTATTTAGAAGGGAAAGAAAACTGGTTTTATGGTAACAGGATGAAAACTGCAGTTAAAGACTGTGTGTGTGTTTTAGGGCTTAAAAGACCTGGAGCTGAGCAGCAGCAGCAGTCTCCTGAGGACCTTGCTGCAAGCATATTTATGAATGTATGGACTTCATGAGGACTAATAAAAGGCCATAACCAACACTGTGTAGGCTGCATTGCTATAAAAATTCAGGTGCAGGAAAGCTGCGTTTGGGGCGGGAGGCGAGGGACCAACGCGGGGCCGGTACCCGAGCTGCGCATCGCCTGTCACGGGCTTGCTTAGGAAGATGCACGCAGCACCGGCATAAGCCCAGTGAGGGAGAGCTTTCTTACCTGGCTTAGAAATATGGTCACAAGCAAAATTTGCAACGCTTGGTCCTTTTTTCCCCCCTTACTTGCTTCGGGGAAAAACAGTCTCACAGAAAAGCGTCTTCAGTGAAAACAGGTTCAAGGCTTTGCAGTTGCTGGGTGCTTAATTTTGCTTTAACATCAGGGAGACTTTCAGCATCCTTGCAGCATGAAAGTACATGTCCCTCAATATGCTAAATGGTTTTTTAATACGCTCGGTTCCCAAGTACAAAGTATTTACACTGTTTTCACAAGTACATTAAGTTTTGTTAGAACTGGGCCAAGGAATAAATTTTCAATTTATTATGCCCCCAGACAGAGCAGTCGTCAGAGCTTAACTTTGCTTCTCTCCACTTGCTGTGGCAGTAAATAGTAAAGGCTTTCTTTTAAAGATGAGTCTGTAAACTGCAGCGTTAGCATTGCAATGATTTATGTAGAAAATTGCTTTAGCACTGTCAGAGGCCTTCAGAGAATAGTGTGACAGTCTTTCAGATTTTAGTAAAAGAACAGAAAAATCCCAGAAACAGACTAGAGCAAGATGTCTGTCCAAAACCTGGTTCTTGGAAAGCTGGTGCTTGCTGCCGGGTGCTTCCCAGACCTGGTGGAAGCACGAGCCTGTCAGACCCAGAGGGCCTGAGGTTTGGGGGCAGACGGTGGGGGGGTTTTGGCATCTGCTCCGACTTCAAATTCTTCTGGGTTTGCTTACCGTTGCTCTGGAAGGTCGTAGGATGACATCGAAGGGTTTTGGATAGCTGAGACTATATCTGAAGGAACAGTAATTTACAGAGGGGAAAGGGGAAGGAACAACTTGGGTTTTGGCTGCTGAAACCTTACTCAACTCATCTGTTGAATCTTGAGACAGTGTTCAAAAAACAGCTCTTACGTTTGGGGTCCTTTATTTTTTGTATTGCTTGCTTATTATTCTGTTCCCTCAAAGTAATGAATGAGATATGAAGAGGTTTCTCTTAGCATTTGAACAGTACAATTAAGCTGGTTTCAAGATTGTATTTTTGTTGGTGTTGACCCTTTCAGTAATGTGACCTGAAATCCTTTCTTCAAAGGTGAGCTTAAAAGAAAAACCATCCATTAGGAGTATGTTTTCCATGTATTCATCGAACCG